GCCAGGCTTTTGGTCTCCTTATCTGAATGCTTGAATGCTGGCATTGTAAGCACAGTCAGCATGTGCTAAGTGTAACGTGTAACAACAAGACTCTTTAAAAAGCATGTGGAACATGTTGGGGGCAGGTGCACCATGCTGTCTGGATGCTTGAAAGAATTCAACGATGCAGAGGTTTAAGGCAACACTATAGCCCCCTAAGACAGCCCAGAGCTGATGCTCCAACCAAGAGAAGATTGGGGTCCTATGTTACTTTGGGGACCTTTTCAGCCCCCAGCACAGGAAAGGATAAAGAGTGAACATAGATCACTTAAAGCCACCTTATCCTTCCTTCTCTCCTTGCTCTGTGCTGCTCCTCCAAAAGGTGTAGAACGTAATATTGTCACTTACAGATTCTGTAAGGAGTAATGTTACCATTCTCACTCTGGGATCATACCAGGGACCCTTGATAGTCAATACCCCAATTCCCACTGACTTTAGTAGCCAGGATTTGTCCCATCGGCCCAGAGTCAGCTAAGCTCATGCTTAAGTCCAACTCTATTCAGTGAAGTATTTAAGAACGTACTTAAGACCCATTGCCTGAAATAGGATTTAAGAAATGGCTTATGTGTTTTATTCAAATAGGTCTAAAAGGCTGAGAGAATGTGTGTTTAAGCCAGTAAAAAAAAAAGAAAAAGAAAAAAATTCTCAAAAACCCAACACATATAAAATCAAGACTGCTTTGCAATATGTTTTAAAAAACAAGGAAAATGCACAGTCTGACCCACAACATGAGACATCTGTGGTCCTCCACAGTAAAAAGCAACTAGCGGCATCTCAAGGGCCTCGTCATGTAATTCAGAGAGTTTTTTTGGCTCTCTTTCATTCTGGGTTTGAAGACAGATTGCTTTACAAGGTACATCAGCCTGCAGGGAATAGCAATTTCCTTTTTCCTCCACAACAAAACAAATGTAACTTTTTAAACTGTTTATCTTTGATCAAAAATATATTACTTAGCACACTAAGTAAACAGCTCTATAATTTGTCATAGAAATTATTGCTTCCTGTGGCTATTTTTAGTGTTTTTACATTTGCTGGGCAATTGGTAATGAGAGCTGATAACCTTGCCATTTGTTTTTTATTTTTGTAATGATCTCAGAAAAACATTTTGAAATAGGAGCTGTTCTTTAATGTAATGGATAAACTACCACACTGCCAGGAATTATACCCAACTTCCTCACTCAGTAATCATGGGAACTCAAGCAACAACCACAACCCACACACATAATGCAAGAAACCATACGGAACACATATATTACATTTCTGTGGTAATGCTCTCACCAAGCAAGACCTAAGCCTGCTTCCAGAGTGCTTAAAAATTCAACAAATGTTGAGACAAGTTTTAAAAGGAGGACTAAAAATAAAGAAAGCTATTGCATCTTTATTTGACCATTTAAAACTATTTCTCTGTATGTTTTTGCTGCTTTGCCAGATATATTGCAAACCTGTCATTTTTTTAATGCAGTAACTTATTTTCCAAGTCATCTTCAAATTTTAGTCTCAAAGATGCATTGAGTCTGAGACTAAATAAACATTCCACTTTTCCGTTCTATCACTCTTGTGTCATGGTTGCTTATCTTTTTCTGCCATTTTTTCTTTGGCTTTCATTTTCTGAAGGTGTCATCATCTGAATCCTGCTGTGGCATTATGAATCAGCATGCTACTGTTTATTGATTACAAGCTCTGAGACATCTATCCCCTTTCCCTTCAATTCTAATGCAAAACCATGCCTTTGATCTACTACTTGTCCTTTCAGGTCACAAAGTGAACATTTCATGTCTTCTTTTGGCTCTGGGGGCCTTAAAACTATGTTTTCAGTTTCTGCTCTCCTTTTCTTCACCAAATGTACTTCTAAACTAGACAGTATTCTCAGTGTAATCTAATTATTGAAACCCTAAAAAATATATATTTCAAAATACCGATCTTTTCTTCTTAAATTCGTTTAGAGTTTGGGTCAATATTAGCACGGGACATATAGTGCATTTCCTGTTTTCTGTGTATAATGACCATTTCTTTCTCTGACTTCTTTTCCTGCCTAACAACTGTATTTCCAACCATCTTGAAAAGCCTTTGCTTTAATCTTCCATCTTAAATCTTTTCCTTTGGGTTCACGTGCTAAACCACTACTTCCATCTCACCACATTTTCTCCCTACGCCTTCAACATTGAGGATCCGTGCTCTCTTCCCACCTAGAGAAGGCGGAATACCCAGCAGCATTAGTGTATTATTCATTGCTCAGTGACCTGGGGCACTGGCTTCTCTCTAGCTTCTGAATCCAATGCCCATGTAGTAGTCTTAGGTTTCACTGTACAAACAGTCAGAGATGACTCAAGCAGGGTGCGGGGCCTGGGACAAATCAGCCCATGCCGGGCCCCGGCCCTGCTCCAATCCCAGATCTGAAGAAGCTGCTGCTGCTCCACCCCAGTCCGTGGGGCCCCCCAGGGCAGTTGCCCCGATTAACCACCCTCCCCGGACATGCCTGCAAACAGGAACAGGAGATTTACACAAAAATCAACCCCTGATCCTTCATATGCGACTAGAGCTTGGTCTGATTACTTATTCTGAGGCCTAGTATTTTTCTATACTATAGAAAAACAGTGTGGTAGTTTATCCATTACATTAAAGAACAGCTCCTATTTCAAAATGTTTTTCTGAGTTCATTACAAAAATAAAAAACAAACGGCAAGCTTATCAGCTCTCATTACCAATTGCTGCTGCCCGAGCTTCTCCCTCCCACCCGATGCCACTGGCCGCACAACTCCAGTACACCCTCGTTCAGGGTTTCTGTCAATATTCTGTATGTCTAGACTCTCTTGGTGTCTCTTATCATTTAGATTTTCTACAAGAACAACATTCTAAAACAGCAGTCTCTAAAATACAGTACACATGCTTTTATTTTTCCACAGAAATTAGTTTTTATTTGAGTGCTGACACTATCTATGAATTCATCAGTATAGTAATCTTTAGAAATGCATACAGCAGCCTCTTCTGGGGGAATCCCAGTCTCAGCTAGCTACATGCATCCATTCAGCTGTTGTTCATTAGAGCTAGTATCACTGATCTGCCACAAAACTGCCTGGCTTTGATAATTTTAGTCCATTGCTTTTTTGTTTTGGTTTGCTTTTGCTTAGACATTTTTTTCTTTTTCTACAAAGCAACCCCTAAAAATGTCATCTTTGACAGACAGTACTCAGATATAGAAACCTAAGAGTATCACTGTATGATTTTGAATTTTTTAAAGATGTATAGAACTGGGAATTTCTTAAACAGAGAGGTTATAAAAGAGTTATTCTGCTACATAATTTTTTTTCTTTATTCACTGATGCATGCCAAGGTTTTGAATAGTAAGAGACCAATAGCACTGCAACTATAAAGCAGTCTCTTTAACTCCACAGGGCAAGTGCAGTACTATGCAATATCTTTTGTTCTTGGTCTTCCCTCACAGGGATTTTTGTGGGGTATAGTTTTGTGATAATCTGAGGAAGGCAAAGACAACAATAAAGCTCAATTTGCTCACCACCTAATCAAGACCTATTATTTAGATTTTAAAACACAAAAGACCACATAGACTATACTGGCTGTCCACGGATGATAACGATGACGACGATGATGATAATCTATTGGAGCATTCAATATAAAAACTTTAAAATTTACATCATGGCATAAATGATCCATATTTATCATTTCTCACAAGTCCTCTATGCAGTTTTTGAAAAACTTTATGACATGCACAATCCAAAATAATATTTTATATACTAAAAATAATATACTTAGATGCTGTAAGCACTTTGGCCACATCCACATCCACATCCACCCAAACCTACACACACACAAACACTCAAGGCTACCAGGAAAATCTTTCAAACTTTGTAAAACAAGCAGCTGTGCACATACTGCTGTCAATGTCCCCAGCTGTGCCTTCTGTCTAGGACCATGCAATACCATCTCCAGATTGTCAGGAGAATGTATTAATTGTGCACCATTTTCTGTTCCCCTTACAGTCTTTGTCATGAAAATGAGAATGTATAATGAAGAGAACATGAGAGGCATTACCATTCTGTGATAACTCATTCCAGTGTCAAAGATAACAGTCACACAACTGAGAATGGCACATTTAACCCATCTCAAGACCAATGTCATGAAGACAAAAAATGGCATCACATTACTTCAATGTTGTGACCCTTTTAAAATGCATACTTGTGCTCCTCTCCCTGTTTATAGTGTGTCTATTAAAGGAAACAACATATTTTTGCCAAGAAAATGTCATATATTATGAAACCATGAGTTCCAAAATGCTCTTCTAGTTTTAAAAGTTACAGATACACTGCACGGATATATTGTAATATCTTTGCCCATGTGTGGAAACATGTATACTGCAGCTCACCCTCTAGCCCACAGAATAATTTACAGCAAGACACAGGTGAACAGAATGAAAAGGAAATGCTGAGTAACACAAATACTGACAATATTTGGCCATCTGAATTCAGCTAAGTAATTTTTAGCTGAATGTGTATAGTTGAACATGTAAATCACCCATCCTGACTCTTGCCAACTGCAGCAGCAGCTGCTCTGCTTGGCCTGCAGACCAGCTCCTTTCCTATTCCCAGGCATAAGAGGATGGGAGAGAAGACTCCTCCAACAGCTGGCGACCCATTTCCTAGCCTCCTGGGGGAGAAGCACATTGCCCCAGCAATTCCTTTGTATGATGTAGAGGCAAAAGGAATAACATTCTTCCCCCACGCTCTATTCCTCATGGGAATAAAGAATTAAATCAGGACTCCCTCAGCTCATTGCTTGTTCTGCCCCGAGAGGTTCCAGATGCCCTTCACTCGCCTAGATCTATTCTGCAGGAGTTTGTGATAACAAGAGGCAAGCTGATGGCTTCCTATTGCCTCTGCCCTCGTGGGCTAGGTACAAACATTCAAAAAGCCTGAGGTGGAATCAATCTAAGATGCACGGTTTTCTGTAAGCGGTATAGTTTAGATCAGTAGCTAACAAAACACACATCTGGCATTTGGTTAGGGAGAGAGGAAGATTGAATCCTAGACCAGGGTCTATCATTTTTAAGCCAGTCTTTGTGCTGAACTTCTGTTCTGGGTATAGCCCAGTTTCAGATCACTTATTCTGGCAAATGTATAATGTCTGTGCCTGGCCATGAAGTCTTCAAGAACAGCCCATGAGCTTGCTTTCTCATAAAGCAATGTGTGACCTGCTGAAATATCCTGTTTCTCCAGAGATGCCAATCAGATAGATCAGACAGGGCTGGAACAAAAGTGGAAGAATCCCAGAGTAGTGCTGAAAACCCCCCCAACAGTGAGAATGGACTGACCCTTAACTTTGGAGTTGAGAAATAAAGAGCACTGGGCCTATGGAAATTCCTCATCTAGCATAAGAATAGGTATATTTCCTTAAACTAAAGATGCTCTCTGGAAAGGGGCTATCACTCCCCTCTTTTATTAAAGCAATGATAGAGTTCCCATTTCATTTCTCTTTGGACTGGATAAATAGTGTTTCTATAAAGTTCCTCCTCCTTGTCTTCCTACTCTGAGGGCTTCCTGGCAGAGGAACTAGAAAGCGCCTCCTGGCTCTTGGAGTCCATTTGCCTGCAAAGGTAGGAAGCCACGACTTTGAATCCCTTTCACAAATAACCAAGCTCCAAAATCTGACTTGAGATTGTCAGGAGAAGCTGGCACCTACTTGAAGTATTTCTGTAGCTCTCAGAAACTGATCAGTGGAAAAGCAACACCATGATCGGATTAAAGAAAGGAGCAATTGGGAGATCTCTGTCTCTCTCTGAGGAAAGATGGGTGGTACTATTTCTAATAAGAATAATAACTCTGTCATTTGAAACATCTTACTGCATCATGCAGCAAACAAGTTCAACATTTTTTTGGCTCCCAGAACCTCTATATTCACTTGCTGTCTCTACAGAGTTGCCATCCAAGACAAGTCTTAATTATACCAGTATAACAGAACAGTGTCAGAGATGTGACCCCAGCCAGAACATGCAATGTACAGAATATACATACATTAGTTTGGCTGCGTATGAACCCTTTTACAGGAACAAACTACTTTCAGGTCAATTGCTTCTTTCTGCTTTCTCCCCTCCTTTTCTTATTACCGCAGGAGATATTATTCTGCATCCCCATATAACAAATTAGTGCCAAAATTAGGGAGTCAGTTTTATTTTTTACGTTAATTTTCCCCCAAAATGTTTGTTGGAAGACATTTTAAAAAGCAAGATTTTGTACCTGGTATTTCAGTTTGCCACGAGACAACCCCCAACCTCCCATCTAAGTCCTTAATCCTGAGAGTGAATCATGGGGATCCCTGTAGTATTTTGACATATTTGAACTGCTGCAATCAATTGTCTGGAGCCTCCAAAATTAATGAGTCATGTTAGAGGAAAGAACAACAGGAATTCATGCCTATCCACTCCCACTGTTAAGAGGCTAGACAAGCTGCCCACACCCAAGAAGTTATGGGATTTGGAGGAGCCTCAACCTCCCTTGAAGTCCAAAGAGAAGAATGATAAAGGGGGGTGGCGGGGGACGGGACCCTTAGCTAGAGGAGAGGGCAAGGATCCAAATATTACTGAATGCCGGCTTATTCCTCTATCAGATTTGCAATATTATTTATGCAGCTGAATAGAATGAATCACAAGATGACTCATCCCCAAAACACCAGGATAACAAAAAAAACCCCCAAACAACAAAAAAAAACAACCCCAAGAAGCCACACGCACATACACACACTTTCTGAAAAACTTGACTGAAGGCATTTTGAAAGGAAACAAATGTAATTTGAATTTTTTTTAAACTCATCAGCTGTGCTATAGCTCCTATGAATAGACTGATCTGATTTTCTAAATCTCTTTAACCTTCAAAAGATGATTAGTGGGTGATTTTTTGTTGTTGCAGAAATAGATATATTTCCCAGTAAGTTTTGGAAAGAGGTTGGTGATAGGTACAATTAATTCAGTACATATCGTTTACTGCAGCCCTCACTTTCACAGGAACCATCGCCAACTGATCCAGGCAGAAGATTGGCTTTGGTTCTGCAAGCAGCTGCTCATCTTTCCACTTAGCTGGAGGTAAGTTGTCACAGTAAGCAGCTGCTAAAAGAGTGGGAGGGAGACACCAATGAGCAGAAACAATTGTGACAATAAAAAATAAAGGAGCAGCAATCTCACTTGCATCAAATAGACTGGGTAACATTGTGTCTTATTTCCCTAAAAAGAAATGGTGTGACCACAGCTTAACCTTGAAAAAACATGAGCTCCTAGGAATTTATGTAACTTCGGCAAGTGCAAATTAAGCCAACAGAAAACAACTCTAGTGATCAGTTATTAAGCTACTTCTTCTGTGTTCTGGGCTCAGAAATGGTTATTAAGGATCCTCAAGTTCATGAATGCAGATAAATTCTCATCTAATTTTGCTTTGGATGTGCTAAATCTGAGATGCAAGTGACCCTATTATGCAAACCAGCTTTGGGTACACGCATTCTCAGGCTCACAGCTAAGTAAAGAAAAATGAGGAGGCAATGCAGACTTTGATCCTATGGGTTGGATTCACCCCAGGTGAACCCTTGCATCTATGTTATGGCCCATTTAAATCAGTGGATTCCTGGCTTGATGCAAGGATGTGCCCACATGGATTGACTGGCAGGATTAGGGAATATCTTGTGGTCTATCGTGAAATATCAGGTACAATTTTTTACTATTTAAAATGCTTAAAATAGGAGTTTAAGGGGAAAATGAGCACAAAAAGGAAGCTGCCCCACTAATTATTTTAAATAGCTTGCCAATGGCACAGTGTATTTTATCAAAGCTCTAACAAATAGCCTCCAAAAAGACTGTTGTTCTTATCATACCCAATAAAACAAAACAATCGCAACAAAAATATAGCCCTGTCTGTTTAATATAGTGTCTTCTTTGATTCCAAATCTATGGCCAGAAAGCCAGCTTCTCTTCTCCTCCATGCAGCCTGCAGGAATTCTATGTTCCCCATCCCAAGCACAGTGGGTGGGTATACATGTGGTTTTTTCTATCCTGCTGCAGAAAAAATTAGTTTACTCCAGCCTAATAGGGACACACATGTAGATGCATGATGTTTACTATGCACCTACTTAGTCTACTATACAGTTAAGCATTGTGTGTAGACACTCCCAATGTGTACCTTCCTGCATGAAAAGGTATCTCCCACACAGACACAGGTTGTCTGGTCTCCTTTCTGTTTTCCATAGAGATCGGCTTCCATTACTTTCCATAATTCTCCTAACCCTTCAGTCCTAAATGTTCTGTCCTGTTTTTATTATCCTCCATTTCACTCTTTTCACCAGTCTTTTTCTCACCCTGCTCCATAATACATTTATGTACTGCTAGCTAACATAACTTTGCTCTCATTTTACTTTTCTTTTCACTTCCATTTTTTTACCTCCATTTTTTTCTTACCCATCACTTTCTGTATTCCTGTTTCAACCCTGTTCTCTTTTATCTCCCAGAGTTTTCTCTCTTGCCCTCTGCCAGGTACACCTCTTATATTCCAGTGCTTTCTTTCTAGATCTCATTCTGTCCTCCAGTCTTAACAATTCATTCACCTTTTGTTCTCAGGTCAGTTGCTTTCATATATTTACCTCAAGCTTCTTCAAGCACTTCCCTTGACGCCTTTTACATCAATTGAATATTTGCTCCAAACCCATTATCTGCTTACCCTTCTGGCCAAAACGTATCTTCTGCTTCCCAGCCCACATTCTCTCTTTCTGCTGTTCCTACTAGTACTCCCAAATCTCTTCTGGACATCCAACAATGCAGTAGAGCCTCTCACCCAAATAAAAATTAATGGACTCTCTGCACTTTTCCCCTCCACAGATGTTTTTCAACTCTCTACCAACCCATTTATTATTCCATCAGACATTTTGTTCAAATACCATGCTCATCCATCCTTGCAAGTATATCATTCAACACTGTGCACCTCAGATCAGGTAATGTGCTATATATACCCTATGCTAACCAAGTCTCTGCAATGCCAACCACTAGAGGGAACATCCTCAGTCTCTCCACTACTTACAGTCATTCCCAGAAAATATGACTTATAGTCTATGTACCTCAACCAATTAATCCTGGGCCTCTTACTTCTCATGACCCTAACCACTCTTCCCCAATTAAAACTCCTCCTACATTGCCAAACACTCTGCCCACAATTGAACCTGTGCCTTCCTTTAGTACCTTCATGATCTGTTCTTTTTCTTGTGCCCTCCCCATAGCAGGTCTGTGTGAAGATGTGTTGGGAGAGGACTGAAGACCCAGATACAATTAACTGATTACCTGTCCTGTGCCTTTTGTAGAGTCCTTGCTGCGCTCATCCCATACTTCTTCATTCCATCCATCTGATGGCAAGGCAACAGGTGCCCAAAGGAGTGCTACTGAGCAGCTGCAGGAAGGGACACAGCATTGTCAACACTCAAAAAGGTCTGCTTGAGCCTAGCAGCATAATATATTAATGTGGGTAAAACACTAATTTCTCTAGCTAATTGCAAAGAAGGAAGTGATGTGCCTATCAACATCTCTGGCTGTCAAGGTATAAAAACAGTCCCCACCTTGAACTACCAGCTTACAGGAAATTGTTTAGAAATGTCCATTAGCACAAGTCCAATTATAAGTATTATGACCAGACCAAGATTTCCCAAGTCCTCTTCCTATGTCTTAACCACAAGCTTTTCTTTCCTCTTGCTTCTTGATTCTTCCCCTGACTGCTTGCATATGTGGCAGACCCCACTCTCCTCTAGCCACACTAGGTCCTGTTCTCTTTCGTCTCTCTTGGACACTCGCTGCAGTTTCACTGGTAGCTCTGGCCCCAAAGGGCAGTTTCTGTTACTTCCTTTCTAACATGCTACTTCTTGTCTTCCACAATCTCTCACATAGAGGCAAGCTGGCTTCTCATTTACTTTTACATGGTGTTCATTCTTCTGCTTGTAAAGAGCCCGATTCTGGCCTATGGAGGAGAGTCTGCCTAACAGTGAACTAGAAATTCGGCTGGAAACTCTAGATGTAGATTTGTAATACATATGGTTTCTATCTGAGTCAGCTCTGATGAAAAAATGACTATAATGTGAGGGTTTGTTTTTTTTTTTGAAAGTCAGGATAGATATGAGCATATAGAAGCTAGTGGTTACATTTCCTTTTACTGCTTCCTGTTTTCACAGATAATAAACCAAAATTAAAACAAAACTAAATCAGGTGTTTAAACAGCTTTGTATGGGTTCTGATAGCAGCACAAAGAAAAAAATATAACAAAAAAATTAACCAGATGTTCTGAAGCCCCCAGAAAGGTTCAATTCAGATTTAGTTCACATTTTGGTTGAACTTAGAGAACTGAGATTTATGTTATCTGACTTAGCAAATGTCTAGTTTTGCACTGAGAAATGTATACATATTTTAAGTACTTTTACATAAGATCTGAAAATTTTTAGAAGTTTGGCTCAAAGCAGGCAATTTGAATTACATTGTACATCTGTATGATAAACAATAGCTTAACAGTACCAGTTCCTCCTGCCACTTCAATTAAAGTGTCTTTCTCCAAAATGCCCTCAATGAAAGTTCATGACAAGATCAGAGGGAGAACTGTTCTGTTTACAAACTCTATATTACAGGAAACTAAATCCCACCATGATCATTTAAGAATGTAATGCCTCTTAAATTCTGGCTATTAGATGTGATGGGCATGACAGAAAGTATATTAGACAATTTAGAGCAGATCTCCAGCCAGTGTCAGTTATCATATACCAGTATAGAACTACCCCTTTCTGGCACCGTTTTACTATAAAGGAGGGTTCAGTCATATTCACTTCTTCTTTACCCTTTATTTCAAACAGTCTTTAACTTGGAAATGCCTAGTGTGTAACAAGCTTAAACAACAAAAAGCAAAGCCTTGGAGGTCTACTAGAGATGTTGAATTTCAAGCTGCTGAAGTGTTTAAACTCTAAGCCAATGCTTAGATCACTGAGAAATAGTTCCCAGGTCAACACAGCTCAAGCTGTTCAAACACCCACTAGGATATTTTGTTTCCCATCAGTGTGCAAACAGGAAGTTAAAAAAAGGAAGTTGAAACAACCAGCTTCCATATCACATAACAGTCCTCATATATAGAGAGCCCACAGAATTTTGCAGCCTGCCAAATCTTTTGCAGTCCCCCAGTTTTGTTTTGTTTTGTTTTAGCGCTTTTTGGGGGGGGG